CTGGGAAGGCATCGCGTGAACAGCAGCCCGTGATGAATGCCACTGTTAAGTTGAAACGTCAATAGATAGAGGAGAAAGAGAAAAGAAATCCCCAAACACTGAATTATTCTTGACAGATCTGCTTAAAATGTGCGCCAGTTGCAAGTTCGCGTATTTGATCTTCGGAGCTCCGTGATATGATGCAAACAACAAAAGCACACGCACAGCAACAACAAACAAAGATCCCCCGCATAGCCTGTAACAGACTGCTTGGGCAAGTGCTATGAGCGAGCACCTATGAAGGCCGGCACGGCACGCGAGTGGGGTGGTTGGCCAGCACCACGCCTTTGTTTACTACGCACCGCACCAGGGTGCTCATTCGAGGCTGAGTCGACCTAGTGGGAGGCCCAGGGACCGTTCAAATAATCGGCACCGGGTGTTGGCCGTGAGCGGGAATCGAACCCGGGTAGCCGGGTTCGTAGCGCGGCGTAGCGCTGACCACTACACCACCGCTCCCCAACCGCACGCACGCACGCGCGGGCACGCCCCGGCTTAAAAAAAAACACCCAGAGACGTCGGAACCGATCGAATTGATTGATTGTCTTTTTAAAAAAAAAATACAAAAATAAACCCCAACAACAACGCGGAAAATAGACTTTCGCAGAAAGCCAGAGCGGAGAGTGCTGTCATTACGTAGATACAAACAGCCCCTTTTTAGTTTTTTTTGTTTGTTGTTGTTCATCTCCCGCTCACCGCGGAGTTGCCCAGAGTGCACGCGAGTCTCGTGCGGCGAGCTTCTTCTTCTGCTGCTGCTGCTGCCTCCGTGAAAAATTACAATCGTAAGGGAGACTGACAGCGTTACGGAACTGGCCGGGGGAAAGAAAAAAAAAGACTGATGCGGTGTAATATATGGATGTACCTAGGTTTTTGCGTGTGCGGGGCGGGGTTGGGGGGGAAGAGCCACACCGCAAAACCGCGCACGAATCGCCGCTGTTAACCCTTCGCCGTACCGACGACGGCGCGGTTGGGATAGCGGTGGTGGTAGCTGCGCTGCCAAGCCGCGCCACCCGAGTTCGGTTCCGGCTCACGGCCACCACCAACACCAGCAGTGACGATCATCTGAACCGGTCCTTGGCCTCCGCCCCTAGGTCGACTCAGCCTCAAGCGAGCAACCGGTGCGGTGCGTGGGTTCAGCATCGCCACTGGGGGGAGACAAAGGCGGTCGGGCGTGGTGGTGGTGGTGGCGGTGGTGGTGCCGGCCACCCACGCCGTCGTGTGCCGTGCCGGCCTTCACAGGGTGCTGCAGTGTTCTTGAATATTCTTGAAACGGCGAAATCATACAAAAAAATATATGAAGCAGCGAAATTCTCGCGACGTTTCGACTGCAACGCAAGAAGCAACCGTCATCAGGTGTGAAAACCACAGCAACTCGCTTACAGCCCTTTGCCCCCAACAGTCTGTGCAGGCTATAACGTGGCGGGGGGGGCACGGGGTGTACCGCTGTGTGTGTGTGTCAGCCGTAGCGGTAGCCGCATCGCCCGTCGGCCTCCTCTCTCTCTCTCTCTTCACCCGGGTAGCGGAATCGCGCGGGGCACGCTTTTGCCGGCGCCAAGGGCCGTCGGTGGCCGTGCGCTCCGCGCCGCGCTTCTCCGCGACTGCCACCACCACCACCCACCACCCACCCCCCCCACTTCCTCTCGAAGTGAAACGAACGCCGAGGCGCTCTGCGAGATTCGCCGTGCGACTCGCTTACTCTTCTCGTGGCACGGGAAAGGGTTACGTTTAATTGGCCAGATCTCTCCGGCACGACGACCACCTTCACCACCACCACCGCCACTTCCATTTCCGCGCTCCTTTGTTTCCATTTTAATTGGGCGCCGTTTATAGTTTTCCGTTTTTAATTGACTCTTAAGGTCACAACGAAAACTTTTGCCACCAGTGTGAGGTTTGTTTTTTTGGTATTTTGGCACGGGGTATTATCGTCGCCGCTGTAATTTTTTTTCCCGTTGACATTTTTTCGTGATTAAATCCCGACTTGGTGTACCTTACTTAGCTTGTCAAATAAAATAAATACATTTAAAATTTTTAAACTAATTGCAAGGTAGTAAGGTCCCACTGAGCTATGTGGCTCTATTTCAGAAGCGACCTGGCTATCGAAGTGGTTCGTCATCATCATCTCGTGGACATTCATACTCTAAATGCGCGGCGTTGATTCTAAATGTGGAGGGAGAAACCGCAGGACTCCCGGATAAATATCCACGCGACCACGGGGATCGAACCCACGACCTCCTGTATACCAGGCGAGGTAGTTAACATCTCCTAGCCACCGTGATGATGATGATGATGAGAGAGAGACACGCAAACTCCAAATATACAGCAGCAGCAGGCGTCACATAGATCGGGATCGAACCCACGACCTCCTGTACACCAGGCGAGGTAGTTAACATCTCCTAGCCACCGTGATAATGATGAGAGAAAGACACGCAAACTCCAAATATACAGCAGCAGGCATCAGGGTCGGGATCGAACCCACGACCTCCTGTGTACCGGGGGGGGGGGGGGGGGGGGGAGTTAACATCTCCTAGCCACCGTGATGATGATGAGAGAGAGAGAGAGACACGCAAACTCACAAATATACAGCAGCAGGCATCAGGGTCGGGATCGAACCCACGACCTCCTGTGTACCGGGGGGGGGGGGGGGGGGGGGGGAGTTAACATCTCCTAGCCACCGTGATGATGATGAGAGAGAGAGAGAGACACGCAAACTCACAAATATACAGCAGGCATCAGGGTCGGGATCGAACCCACGACCTCCTGTATACCAGGGGGAGGGAGTTAACATCCCCTACCCACCGTGCGACCCCCCACAAGACTCACGGTAAATCCCGACCGCCGTCGTCTGCCACATTGATCGTACCCGACCTCTCCCACGCAAGGTCACGGCTATGGGGGGGGGCTTGGGGGAGGGGGGAGGGGTTTTCGTCAAAATCCCACCGCTCCCTCCATGTCGGAACCTGCCCCACGTGACCTCGGAGCGTCCCCGGCTCGCGCTCCCTCCCCCCCCAACACCACCCTCCGTCCCCGCTGCTCGAATGGCGTCATCAATCAACGGAAGGCCCAGAGAGTCTCAGGCCTGAATGATTACGCGGTGCGGTGTCTGCCGCCTGCCCCTGACCACAGCTAGAAGACGGTGGAGGGGTCGGTGGAGTGGGTGGGTGGGGTGGGGAGAGGCGTCGAGGCAAATGCCTCCCTCCCCCCACTTCCCTCCCCCCACTTCCCTCCCCCCCCCACTTCCCCCCACTTCCCTCCCCACCCCCCCACTTCCCCCCACTTCCCCCCGTGTGGCCATGCCCGGCTGTTGGGGCAATTGCCGGTGGCGTGAGCCGCCTAATAACGGATGGCGTTTCACTCGAAGGTGGCGGTGGCCAAAAAAAATAATAAATTATTTTTTTTATTGAAATTATAATAAATGTACGTAATAATAATAATAATAAAAATTTAAAAAAATCATTAAAAAAGTATAAGTTTCTCTTTTTTTAAAAAAAATGTATGATAAAAAAAACACACACCCGGCCGCCTTTGTCTCCCCCCCCCCCCCCCCCACCACCACCATCACCACCGCACCCCAGAATCCGGTTCAGACGCTCGCCACCGACGTTGGCCGCGAGCGTGAATCGAGAGCCCCCTGGGGCGGGTTCGTCAGGTTTCGCTGCGTCCGTGCCGTTGTGCTGGGGGGTGGGTGGGGTGTGGTGGGTAAACCCCACGGCATTTCCACACCGGACGTGGTGGGGTGGTCGTGATGAAGTCGCCACGTTTTTGTTCACGTGACGAAGCGCGCGTATATATTGGCCGTGTCGGGTGGTGGTGGTGGTGGTGGTTTTTACGACACGTTTACGTGAACGCGTGATCTGACCCCAAGGAACTTTTTTTTTGTCACGAATAATATTGGTCACGAAAGGCTGCGCGTTATGCTGACAAAAAAATAACTAAATAGGCGTGACTTGAAACAAAGCGCGAATACGGATGCCCTGGCTGCGGGAATTTGTTATTATTAATCCGGCATGCATGTGTGTCGAACTTCTTTCGCACCGTACCTAGCCAACTCTGCTAACCAGAGGCGCAGGGAGAAGGACAACAAACAAGCACGGAGACAATTTCAACCGAGAAGATGGATTCTGGCTTAGCAATCATTGGAAGGATTTGATTAACCATTTCAGGTCTTAATTGATTGTTCACGCTTACGGTGGCTTTCAGACAGCATACATTAATTTTTCGCCTCCCCCCTCCTCTTTTCAGAACATAGATGGACTCGTCCTTCTAAACAAACTGTCAAATCGCTGCACGTGGCGCTGACGGTTTTTTATAAATAAATAAATACACCGTTTAAAAATAAATAAATTGATGCAAACCGAAGCACCTGATGACGACCGTTTGTGTTATGGTCGAAACGTCGTGAGAATGTTTTATTGTTTTATATATATTTTATTATTTTATTGTTTCCCTTCAACGTGACTTTACCGAAAGAGCTAAGAATATGGGCCTCTATGAGTCTACGGGTCTCTATGAGTCTGTGGGTGTCTGCGAGTCTGCGGGTCTCTATGAGCCTATGGGTGTCTATGAGGCTGCGGGTCTGTATGAGTCTATGGGTACCTATGAGTCTGCGAGTCTGCGGGTCTGTATGAGTCTGTGGGTGTCTGCGAGAGTCTATGGGCCTCTATGATTCTATGGGTGTCTGCGAGAGTCTATGGGCCTCTATGAGTCTATGGGTGTCTGCGAGTCTGCGGGTCTACGGGCCTCTATGAGTCTGCCGGTCTGTACGAGTCTATGGGTGTCTGCGAGTCTGCGGGTCTCTATGAGTCTGTGGGTGTCTGCGAGAGTCTATGGGCCTCTATGAGTCTATGGGTGTCTGTGAGTCTGCGGGTCTACGGGCCTCTATGAGTCTGCCGGTCTGTACGAGTCTGCGGGTGTCTCTCTCTCTCTCTGCCCGTGTCTCCGACCCCCGCCTCCTTGCGCGCCACCAGACACCGGAGCGGGCGTCTGGGGCTGCCGTGGCACGAGTCCCGCCGCCCCCCCTGACCGCCGCTCGCTTGCGCGACCACGACAACACCTACAGCGAAGGTGAGGGTTGGCGACGCCGACGCTCTGCTGGGAGATGTTACCACCCCATCGCTCTCCATCCCTCCCCCCCCCGCCGCCACACAATCGGCCTGGTTAAGCAGGAGGTCTCGCGGGTTCGATCACGAAGCTGCGACCCTGACGACGCCCTCCGCACATTCGGAGTTGGGTTTTTTTTATTTTTGCCCGCCGTCCTCGCGATTGGAGATCGTCGGGGGAGACGCAACGGGTGACAGCAACCAGGAGTTTCATCTCGGCAGTCCTCGCGACTGCGGGCGGGGGGAGGGGGGGGTGGTGTTTGTCTCGCTCTACCGATGAGCCACCTGATATAATTATAGCTGACAGGCTCCGCCCCCTCACCACTCTCCACCGCTAAGCCACCTCTAATTACTATCAATCAATCGTGACGTCGCGGTCCGCACAGCATGCGCCCCGATGGCCCGGGAGATTTTGTTTTTTCTCGCGCGACTGCATTTTTCCGTTTGTTTTTTTTTTAGCACGGGCAATTTTATTTTTTTTGCGACTACATGATTCGTATTCTTAGTTTTTTTCGGTAAAGTCACGTTGAAGAGAAACAACAAAATAATAAAATATATATAAAACAATAAAAAAATTATCACGACGTTTCGACCATAACTCTTCACACCTGAAGATGACCGTTTGAGTTATGGTCGAAACGTCGTGAGAATTTTTTTTATTGTTTTATATATATTTTATTATTTTGTTGTTTCTCTTCAGGTGTGAAGATGACCGTTTGAGTTATGGTCGAAACGTCGTGAGAATTTTTTTATTGTTTTATATATATTTTATTATTTTGTTGTTTCTCTTCAACGTGACTTTACCGAAAAAACTAAGAATATGAATTACTGCAGTCACGAAAGCTTTAAATCAAAATTTACCATGATTCGTGTTTTTTTTTTGCATGGGCACATATTTTTTTTTCCCCGCCACTAAATCTTTTTTTCTTCTGCAAGAGCAATATAATTTTTTTTACGACTACGTTTTTGTTTTTTTAATCTCGCACGAGCAATTTTCGCTTTTGAGACCGCGTGTTCTTTTTTTTTTTAGTTTGCGCGAGCAAATTTTTTTCCTTCGGTTGCCCGTGACGATCGGGCGCCTGCCATTGGGGGGTGACGTTAGCACGATCGGGGTCGCTCACGGGGAGGTTCCCTTGCTTGATCGATTTTATTTTCCGTTTGTTTCCTCTCTCTCTCTCTCTCCGGGCGTTCTCTTCATCAGCGCGCGCGGTTGTTTATTTATTCACTTTATAATCGCCCGATTCGGCGAAATACGCGCGCTGGCGTGTGTTTTTTATCACGCCTTCAAACCGAAGGGTGGAAAGCGTTGATGCCGTTAGCTCTCACCACGGGACCTCCCTTGCCAGTATCACAGCATAACAACGTAGGGTGTTCATAATAACGGTTTTTGGGTTAGATCGCATTTATTTATAAATGTGTCGTAACCCTCCACCACCCGACACGGCCAATCAGCAAAAAAAAAGTGTCACGTTGACAAAAGACAAATAGTTCACTACTTTAGCCCACCGGTGTGTTGAAGAGTTAATCCACAACATTTACAGTTTGAGTAGTACGACGTTTCGCTGGTAATTACATCCAGCATCATCATCGGGCAATTCGCCAGAATGGTAAAGCCCTCGCTTGCTCCCGGTTTTTATATAGAGCAGCAGGGTGACGTCATCACTTAACTCATATCAGGTGCAGTGATTAGAGGCGGAGGGGGGGGGGGTATTGTAATTATATAATCGATTAGTAATCAGTCATTGGTTATGATTAGTAATGAGTTGTAGATTAGTCATTCTTTAATTGTCTTTTGTCAACGTGACACTTTTTTTTGCTGATTGGCCGTGTCGGGTGGTGGAGGGTTACGACACATTTATAAATAAATGCGATCTAACCCAAAAACCGTTATTATGAATAATATTGGTCGCGAAAGCCTACGTGTTAAACGAACGTAGGGTGTTACCCTTCCTGGCCGTAACAAAACAGTTGCGCGAAGACGTTCAAACACCAAACTGAAACCTTTCACGGGGAATCGTGTCCGCATTAACCAACACATACGAGCGGTGAACATGCAAACAAACGAACGTGCTCTGATAATAATAATAATAACAATAACATACGATGCATCGTCTTCGAAACCGATTGGCCTACCACCAGAGGAAGCTTTCTTCAGGGTGTAGTCGCACTACCAGTGTTAGTGGACCAGAGAACGCCCAAAGGCGGACAGCACAAAGACAATGCACGTTTCGGCAAAGTCACGTGGGTAGAAAAAAATAGCTCATGGAAAACGACGTTTCGATCGCAACACAGGCGGTCGTCTTCAGGTGAAACGACACACCAGGCGTCCTCTGGTCTAACGCCGCTTTGGGACGAGGCTCAAAAGAGAGCCGTCTCTCTGGTGCGGACCAATCAGTTTCGAAGACAGTGCCCACATTTATATTATTGGAGTGGTTTTTTTGTTTGTTCGCATTCTGACCACAAGTATTGTGGTTGATTCAGAAATGATTCCTGGTGAAAGGTTTCAGTTTGGTGTTTTAACGTCTCAACGCGGCTGTTTTGTTGGCAGAAAAAAGGGGAAAAACCTATTATAATATTTTGGTACTGGCAAAGGAGGTCCCCATGATGTAGATGCTCAACCCGAGCCCTCAATACTGTGATAGTGGCGTTGTCTTTGTGCTGTGTGACGCCTTTTGGCGTCCTCTGGTCTAACGCCGCTTTGAGACGAGGCTCAAAAGAAAGCCGTCTCTTGTGTGGACCAATCAGTTTCGAAGACAATGCCCACATTTATTATCAGAGTGTTTTGTTGGCGTTCTGACCACAAGCATTTTGGTTAATTCAGAAATGATTCCTGGTAAAAAGGTTTCAGTTTGGTGTTTTAACGTCTCAACGCGGCTGCTTTGTTGGCAGAAAAAAGGGGAAAAACCTATGATCATATTTTGGCACTGGCAAAGGAGGCTCCCCGTGATGTATTAATTCCTGCAGTCGCGAAAGCTTCGACTCAAGATCGTTTGCTTTTTCTACCTCTGGCTGTAAACCTGGGTGCGGTTGCGGTGGCGGGGGGCTGTACCGTCGGGGGTGGGATGGGGGTCAAGGTAAGAAAGGAAAGCGAGGATGACTTCAGTGAACGTGAACCGCCACGCGAACCGCAATTTCGCTGCCGGGTTGTGGTTGCGCTTACGGAGGGAATTCAATCTTTTGGAGGGGGGGGTGGAAACGCCCGGCCGAATTTAGATCCTCAAAAATTGTAGATTGCAAAAAAAAACAACAACAACAACAACACTAAAAGGGAAACAATAAAATGATAAAATATATATAAAAACAATAAAAATTCTCACGACCTTTCGACCATAACGCAAACGGTCATCATCAGGTGTGAAAAACAGTTTGCGTTATGGTCGAAACGTCGTGAGAATTTTTTATTGTTTTTATATATATTTATTATTTTTTTAATTGTTTCCCTTCAACGTGACTTTACCGAAAGAGCTAAGAATATGAATTACTGCAGTCACGAAAGCTTTAAATCAAAATTTAACGCTAAAAGGATTAAAAATAAGAAGAGGTTTGGCCCTTTCTGGCAATACAACAGGAGACGTTAAGACGTTCAAACAGCAACTAAATGCCTTTCGCAAGGAATCAATTTCTGCATCAACCACACACGGTACCGGTGGTGAACATGCAAACAAACACGGCTCTGATGATGATGATGATAATAATAATAATAATAGTATATGGGCATTGAAACTGATTGGCCTACACCAGAGACAGAAGCCTTCTGTATGGCCTAGCCTCACCAGCAGTGTCAGACCAGAGAACAGCGCTAAGGCAATGCCACACGTAGCGCTGCATTTACAGCACGGGACGAGGGGTTATATCGCGACGGGCTGCCTCTGCCTCTCCTCGTCACGTGGAATTGTATCCCGGCCAAACACTCCGGATTGCGCGTTGATTCTAAATGTGGAAGGACAAACCGGAGAGAAAAATCCAAACGCCCAAACATTCAGCAGGCCTCGGGGTTCGCGCTTGAACCCACGACCTCCTGCATACCGGGCGAGGCAATTAACATCCCCCCCCCCCCCTCCCCGCAATTTGGATGGTGTGAGCATGATTTTTCTTCAGCGCCTGTATCTTTTCATCGTTTTCTATGATCGGACCTGCGCGCTGGTCATCCTGGGCGGTGTTGAACGTGCATCGTGACCCTTGTGGGTCAATGTTGACCTCCTGCTTGCTCTCCTCCACGTTCAGCTGCCACCCAAACCATTCGTCGTTTCTCTCTCCCAACGCAGCCCAGGAGCTCCTCGCCGATTGGCTGAGCAGCAAGCTCAAGCTGGAGCTGGAAGACGATTGGCCGGACGAAGCGGAGGGTCACGGGAACGCGACGGAGCACGCTTACGTCCCGTTCGGTCGAGCGACGGGACGCGGGACAGCGGAGGGCCGAGCCCCCAAAAGCTTTGACGGTAAAATGACCGGGGTACTCATGCCCCCCCCCCCCCCTTATTACACGCACGCGCTGAGCTCAGCCAGGCCTTCCTCTTCTTCTTCTTCTTCTTCTTCTTCCTCTTCGTCTTCCTCTTCGTCTTCCTCTTCGTCTTCCTCTTCTTCTTCTTCTTCGTCTTCCTCTTCCTCTTCTTCTTCTTCTTCTTCGTCTTCCTCTTCTTCTTCTTCTTCGTCTTCTTCTTCTTCTTCGTCTTCCTCTTCTTCTTCTTCTTCTTCTTCTTCTTCTTCTTCTTCGTCTTCTTCTTCTTCTTCTTCTTCCTCTTCTTCTTCTTCTTCCTCTTCTTCTTCCTCTTCGTCTTCCTCTTCGTCTTCCTCTTCTTCTTCTTCTTCCTCTTCCTCTTCTTCTTCTTCTTCTTCCTCTTCCTCTTCTTCTTCTTCTTCTTCTTCTTCTTCTTCTTCTTCTTCTTCTTCTTCTTCTTCTTCTTCTTCTTCTTCTTCTTCTTCTTCTTCTTCTTCTTCTTCTTCTTCTTCTTCCTCTTCTTCTTCTTCTTCTTCTTCTTCTTCTTCCTCTTCCTCTTCTTCTTCTTCTTCTTCGTCTTCTTCTTCTTCTTCGTCTTCCTCTTCCTCTTCTTCTTCTTCTTCTTTCGTACGGCTCGCTTAGACGCCCGCAGTGCAACGACTGGAATTTCACATCCAGCTGGTCAAGTCAGCCAACCGCGTCGGGAGCAGTGGAGCGTATCGCTGGTTAAGCGCATGGGGTGGTGGCGGTGGTGGCGGTGGTGGCGGTGGTGGCGGTGGTGGCGGTCGTGGCGGTGGTGGCGGTTGTGGCGGTGGTTGTGGCGGTGGTGGCGGTGGCGGGCGGTGGTGGCGGTGTTGGCGGATGGGAGATTTCGGAATCTTGCTCCACAGTTTTCAACTTCCTCCAACCAAGCGCTAGATGTTCAGCAGTATGCTTCCAGAGTTGTGTTTTTATCCCTCGGCCCATTTCCGCGCGAAAACAATGAAATGCAATGGCACCGCCCGTCGTCACGGCATGAGTTGAAGCGTCGCGGTGGCTACGAGATGTTGATGACCACGCCTGGTATACAGGAGGTCGTGGGTTCGATCCCAACCCCGACGCCTGCTGCTGCTGTATATTTAAGATGGTGCATGTGTCTCTCTATCCCCGTGGTCGCGTGGATTTTTTTGGCCGGGCACCCTCCGTTTTTTTTCCCTCCACATTTAGAATTAACACCGCACGTTCAGAGTATTTGATTGCTGCTATAAATTTCCACGCGATGATGACAAGCCACTTCGTTGAGCTGTCATTTGTGGTGGGCAGGTCGCTTCCGGAAAAATAGTAGCTACGCAACTCAGTGGGGCCTTATCTAGTAACAATTAAAACATTTGCTTTGTGGTTCTCTCGGTAAAGTCACGTAGAAAATAAATGAGTTAAATAATAGAATACGACGTTTCGATTGCAACACAAGCAATCGTCATCAGGTACGAATGAATGAGAGAGTTAAAAAACCGAGTAAACGTATGAATATAATGCAATACAACACAGAGAGTCGGCTAACATAACAGTCAACACCCTAATTCTAGATTTGAAGCTTTCGTGACTGCAATAATTCATACTCTTTGGTATTATTCGGTAGGTAAAAAACAAATAAAAATTGAATAAAATAAAAAAATTTAAACACGACGTTTCGGAGGCAACACAAGCTTCCGTCTTCAGGTGGAAACAGTCACAGCAGTCAACACCCTACCTGGTTGATTACGTTCTTCCAAAGATTGCTAAGTGTGAGATTTGAAAGCTACAAATGAAGTTTAAACCACCTCTACAGGGAGGATTTAAGTTAGTTTTCTCTCTCTCTCTGTGTGAGTCTCTCTCTGTGTCTATGTTGTGTGTCTCTCTCTTTGTGTCTCTGTGTTGTCTCTCTCTGCTTGTGTGTCTGTCTGTGTGTCTATGTTGTGTGTCTGTGTGTCTATGTTGTGTGTCTCTCTCTGTGTGTCTCTGTGTTGTCTCTCTCTGCTTGTGTGTCTGTCTGTGTGTCTTTGTTGTGTGTCTCTCTCTCTGTGTCTATGTGTGTGTCTCTCTCTGTTTGTCTATGTTGTGTGTCTCTCTCTCTCTGTGTCTCTCTCTGTGTGTCTCTATCTGCTTGTGTGTCTGTCTGTGTGTCTATGTTGTGTGTCTCTCTATGTGTGTCTATGTTGTGTGTCTCTCTCTGTGTGTCTATATGTGTGTCTCTCTCTATTTGTCTATGTTGTGTGTCTCTCTCTGTGTGTCTCTCTCTGTGTGTCTCTATCTGCTTGTGTGTCTGTCTGTGTGTCTATGTTGTGTGTATCTCTCTGTTTGTCTCTGTGTGAGTCCCTCGCTGTGTGTCTATGTTGTGTGTCTCTCTCTGTGTGTCTATGTTGTGTGTCTCTCTGTGTGTCTCTGTGTTGTCCCTCTCTGTTTGTCTCTGTGTGAGTCTCTCTCTGTGTGTCTCTGTGTGAGTCTTTCTCTGTTTTAGTTTCTCTCTGTGTGTCTATGTTGTGTGTCTCTCTCTGTCTCTCTCTGTGTGTCTCTCTCTGCTTGTGTGTCTGTGTGTGTGTCTCTCTCTCTGTGTTTATGTTGTGTGTCTCTCTCTGTGTGTCTATGTTGTGTGTCTCTCTCTCTGTGTGTCTATGTGTGTGTCTCTCTCTGTCTATGTTGTGTGTCTCTCTCTCTGTGTGTCTCTATCTGTGTGTCTCTATCTGCTTGTGTGTCTGTCTGTGTGTCTATGTTGTGTGTCTCTCTCTGTCTCTGTGTGAGTCTCTCGCTGTGTGTCTATGTGGTGTGTCTCTCTTTGTGTGTCTATGTTGTGTGTCTCTCTCTCTGTGTGTCTCTCTCTGTGTGTCTCTGTGTGTGTCTCTCTCTGTGTGTATCTGTGTTGTCTCTCTCTGTGTGTCTCTCGCTGTGTGTCTATGTTGTGTGTCTCTCTCTCTGTGTGTCTCTGTGTGTGTCTCTCTCTGCTTGTGTGTCTGTCTGTGTGTCTATCTCTGTGTGTGTGTATGTTATGTGTGTCTCTCTGTGTGTCTCTGTGTTGTCTCTCTCTGTGTGTCTCTGTGTGAGTCTCTCTCTGCTTGTGTGTCTGTGTGTCTATGTTGTGTCTCTCTGTGTGAGTCTCTCTGCTTGTGTGTCTTTCTGTGTCTATGTTATGTGTCTCTCTGTGTGTCTAAGTTGTGTGTCTCTCTGTGTGTCTCTGTGTTGTCTCTCTCTCTGCTTGTGTGTCTGTCTTTGTGTCTCCGTGTCTGTGTCTTGTCTCTCTCTCAAATTTCACACTTATAATTTAGCAATCTTTGGAAGAACGTAATCAACCAGGTAGGGTGTTGACTGTTATGTTAGCCGACTTTCTGTGTTGTATTGCATTATATTCATAAGTTTACTCGGTTTTTTTCTTTCTCACTAATTCGTACCTGATGATGATTGCTTGTGTTGCAGTCGAAACGTCGTATTCTATTATTTAACTTATTTTCATTTTACGCAACTTTACCGAAAGAACGAAAAAGTTATTCCTGCAGTCACGAAAGCTACAAATCAAATTAAAACATTGTTTAAATCGTTATCAGCCATTTCAATGCCATTTCAATGCTAAATTATATGCTAATTCCTTTGTCAAGGCGCTTTGTTTCCTCTCACACAGCTTAAAGGTCGTGATCTGAACGTGGCTTTTTTCACTCCAGCGCTGTCCTACCAGACAGTCTCGTCCCTTCACCTGATGAAGGCCGCTTGTGTTGTGGCCGAAACGTCGTGAGAATGTTATTGTGTTATTTTATTTTATCAATTTATTATTTTATTCTCATTCTACGTGACTTTACTGAAAGAACCAAAGAAGATGGTCTAACACTGTTTAAGATTAGGATCTAAAGAAAGTTGTCTCTGGTGTGGACCAATCAGTTACCAGGGACAATGCCACATATTATCAGAGCGTGTTTTTTTTTGTTTTTCCATAAGTTTGTGTTGGTTAACGCAGTAAATTATTCCTTGCAAAATGTTTATATTTGGCGCTTTAACATCTGAACACCTCCTCTGTTATTTGCCAGGAAGGGTAAAGCCCAGTTCCTATAATTATTCCGGCAAGAAAGTTCCCCGTGATATTAAATAGTTTCGTTTGTATCATTAGACCTCCTTTGGCGTCATCTGGTCGAGCACCAATTGGGTCGAGGCTCAAAAGAAAGCCGTCCCTTGGTGTGGACCAATCAGTTTCAAGGACAATGCATCATATATTATCATAGTATGTGTTTTTTGTTTGCATTTTGACTGCAGGTATTGCGGTTAATGCAGTAACATGAATCCTTGTATAAAAAGGTTTCGGTTTTGTTTGCCAGAAAAAAGGGGAAAAACCCTATTATTACATTTTGGTACTGGCAAAGGAGGTCTAATGATGTAGATGCTCACCCCGAGCCCTCATTACTTTGATAGCGGCATTGTCTTTGAGCTGTGTGACGCCTTCTGGCATCATCTGGTCGAGCACCAATTGGGTCGAGGCTCAAAAGAAAGCCGTCCCTTGGTGTGGACCAATCAGTTTCAAGGACAATGCATCATATATTATCATAGTGTGTGTGTTTTTTGTTTTGCATTTTGACTGCAGGTATTGCGCTTAATGCGGTAACATGAATCCTTGTATAAAAAAAGGTTTCGGTTTTGTTTGCCAGAAAAAAATGGTAAAAACCCCATCATTATTATTATTGCAGTTTCGTTTATATTAACACGTAGGCTTTTCGCGACCAATATTATTCACAATAAAAGGTTTTTGGGTTAGATCGCGTTTATGTTGTGGATTCACTCTTCAACACACCGGTGGGCTAAAGTAGTGAATTATTTGTCTTTTGTCAACGTGACACTTTTTTTTTGCTGATTGGCCGTGTCGGGTGGTGGAGGGTTACGACACATTTATAAATAAACGCGATCTAACCCAAACACCTTTATTATGATTTTTGATTTAAAGCTTTCGTGACTGCAGTAATTCATATTCTTAGTTTTTTGCGGTAAAGTCACGTTGAAGGGAAACAACAAAATAATAAAATATATATAAACAATAAAAAATTCTCACGACGTTTCGACCATAACTCAAACGGTCGTCTTCAGGTGTGTTGGTTTGCATAAATTTATTTTTAAACGGCGCATTTATCTATTCATTTATTTATTCATATTCTATTATTTTGTTGTTTCCCTTCAACGTGACTTTACCGAAAAAACTAAGAATATACCTTTGTTATGAGTTTCGTTTATAGTTTTCCCGTCAACTTCACTCCCGCAGAGTACTTCGACCAGGTGGGGGCTGGTCTGGAGGATGGTGCGGTGGATGCCCTGGTGAAGGGGATGCTGGAGAAGGAGGTGGTTCAGGTGAGCTTCCTCGACGATTTGGGCCTTCAGGGCCACGGCGCTGGCAAGACGCGTGACCCCCGTCTCACCATGGACCTCCGGCATCAGAAGGTCAGTGACGGATCGCCACTTTCCGTTTTGCGTGACAGCCCTTGCACGTTGGCCGCGTCGGTTGGCCGCGGGTTTTGACGGCGCACTTGTATATTTACGTGACCTAAAACCCCCAAAAAAAACGTGAAACTTAACGAGTGTTATTTTTTTTTTTATTGCTAGCAGGCAAAGGCCCCGCTGAGCTATGTAGCTCTGACGCCAATGATAGCTCGACTGCGTGGCTTATCATCGTCACGTGGAAATGTACGGAGGCCAAATGCCAACTTTGTACTGAACTGTTACGATCGCTTCCAGGTGAGGCCCTCTGAGCTATACTGTACCTGAGCACAACCGATAGCTCGACAAAGTGGCTTGCCAGCACGTGGACATTTATAGCGGGCAAATTACTCTTTACGTTGATTTTAAATGTGGAGGGAGAAAAACGGAGGAACCCGGAGAAAAATCCGCGCGACCAAAGGGAGAGAGAGAGAGAGAGACACGCAAGCTCCAAATATACAGCAGGCGTCGTCAGGATCAGGATTGAACCCACGTACCTCCTGTATACCAGGCGAGGTAGTTAACATCTCCTAGCCACCGCGATGATGATGAGAGAGAGAGACACGTAAGCTCCAAATATACAGCAGCAGGCATCGTCAGGGTCGGGATTGAACCCACGACCTCCTGTACACCAGGCGAGGTAGTTAACATCTCCTAGCCACCGTGATGATGATGATGATGAGAGAGAGACACCCAAACTCCAAATATACAGCAGGCGTCGTCAGGATCAGGATTGAACCCACGACCTCCTGTACACCAGGCGAGGTAGTTAACATCTCCTAGCCACCGCGCTGTGTCCAGTTGGGCTCAACGGGCTGATCCGTTTTTCCGAATCAGAATATTGATTTCTTCCTGGAGGAATCCGATGAGCCACGAACCTCTTTTTCAAAACATGTCCTGTCGGGTTTGAATGCGACCGCCAGTTTCCTCTCGCCAGGTTTAGCGCTCCGACCTCTCTGAGCCTCCCGTATCGTTTTTATCTTCTTCTCGCACATCCCGCGTTTAGTTTTTTTGGGGTTTTTAAACGACTGCCCATTAACCGTTTCCCGTGCACGTCTGAATAAAATGTAACGACGTGTGTGCACGTCATCAGTTTTTCTTCGCAATCGTCGGCGAAACGGAATTGGAAGAAAACCTAGAGTAAACAAAAGAATATTCATCGTACCAAGGCCTAACAAGACAGCGACCTAGGGTGGTGACCACCCTGGCTAACTACACAGGTTACTAGGTAACTATCAACTTCAGATCGGGACCAACAGCACACTGCCAGGGTCCGCGTGCTGGATGACTTGAAGATCGGAGATCGTGGACGAAGGGTTTATTCCCCCCGGGACGGGCAGCCAAGCTCCCTCTCTCGGGACTCGGCTTATAGTTCTCTCCGGCGTGGCCGACTCCGCCCCTGGCCACGCCCCTTTTCCAGAACCTTCAGGAAGAACCTCGGTTCCTATCACGTGACCCTCCTAGCCCCCTCCCAGGGACCCCTCTGTCATTCTAACCGGTCACGTGTCCTCCCGGGTCAACCAGAGTTTCATGGCCTTACCCGACCTTCCCCTCAGGTCGACACACGCCGTGCCCCTCTAGGGCCAGTACTGCAGCTACAGCGTGGCGACATCCAGCCATGTCACTACACACACACCGTGCCCTCTAGGGCACACCTACAGCATGGTGACATCCAGCGGTGTCACTACACACACACCGTGCCCTCTAGGGTGGTGACATCCAGCGATGTCACTACACACACACCGTGCCCTCTAGGGCACACCTACAGCATGGTGACATCCAGCTGTGTCACTACACACACACCGTGCCCTCTAGGGTGGTGACATCCAGCGGTGTCACTACACACATACCGTGCCCTCTAGGACCGGTACTGCACCTACAGCGTGGTGACATCCAGCGGTGTCACTACACACACACCGTGCCCTCTAGGGCACACCTACAGCATGGTGACATCCAGCTGTGTCACTACACACACACCGTGCCCTCTAGGGTGGTGACATCCAGCGGTGTCACTACACACACACCGTGCCCTCTAGGGCACACCTACAGCATGGTGACATCCAGCTGTGTCACTACACACACACCGTGCCCTCTAGGGTGGTGACATCCAGCGGTGTCACTACACACATACCGTGCCCTCTAGGACCGGTACTGCACCTACAGCGTGGTGACATCCAGCGGTGTCACTACACACACACCGTGCCCTCTAGGGCACACCTACAGCATGGTGACATCCAGCTGTGTCACTACACACACACCGTGCCCTCTAGGGTGGTGACATCCAGCGGTGTCACTACACACAACACCGTGCCCTCTAGGGTGGTGACATCCAGCGGTGTCACTACACACACACCGTGCCCTCTAGGGTGGTGACATCCAGCGATGTCACTACACACACACCGTGCCCTCTAGGGTGGTGACATCCAGCGATGTCACTACACACACACCGTGCCCTCTAGGGTGGTGACATCCAGCGGTGTCACTAGACACACACCGTGCCCTCTAGGGCACACCTACAGCGTGGTGACATCCAGCGGTGTCACTACACTACTACACTACTATACACAGACTCAAGCTCTTGCTGGGGAATATTCCCGGGCATTCCCAGGCCAGCCGAGCGACATCGTCCCACCGCCAGCAGCGTGTCCCGGGCCGGCCCCGAGGTCTTCGCCCAGTGTGGGGGGTCGTTGATGCCCGGTTAGAGTTCCAGGGGGGTCTACCGGTGGGGAGGGGGGGGGCAGGGCGGGGGGCTTCCTTACCGGGTGCCCGAACCACCTCGACTGGCTCCTCTCGTTCCGGCGGAGGAGCGGAGGCTCGACTCGGAAGCTCTGCCGGACTGCCATGCTCGACCCGATCGGGGCGAGAGAGAGAGATAGCCCGGCATCCCCACGGAGCAATCTCGTCTTTCTCATCACGGGGAAAGGGGTTAAGTGCGGCGCTCCGTTTGTACCACGATGCAACTGTGCGGGTGCACCGGGCGGCGGCTGGGGTCTCCAGCGTCGACTCCCCCCGCGGCTCCATCTTCAGCGGGCCGCTGATCATCTCCATTGACGCGCAAGACGCGTTGGACAAAAAGGCGAGTCGTGGAAGGCATCGCGGCTGGAGGGGTGGGGGTTGGGGAAGAGGGGCGGAGGGTGTAGGGGAGGATGGGGGTGACGCGGTGGCTAGGAGTTTACGTGTCTCTCTCTCTCATCATCATCATCACGGTGGCTAGGAGATGTTAACTACCTCGCCTGGTATATAGGAGGTCGTGGGTTCGATCCCGACCCTGACGATGCCTGCTGCATATTTGTGAGTTTGCGTGTCTCTCTCTCTCATCATCATCATCATCACGGTGGCTAGGAGATGTTAACTACCTCGCCTGGTGTACAGGAGGTCGTGGGTTCGATCCCGACCCTGACGATGCCTGCTGTATATTTGTGAGTTTGCGTGTCTCTCTCTCTCATCATCATCATCATCACGGTGGCTAGGAGACGTTAACTACCTCGCCTGGTGTACAGGAGGTCGTGGGTTCGATCCCGATCCTGACGATGCCTGCTGTATATTTGTGAGTTTGCGTGTCTCTCTCTCTCTCATCATCATCATCATCACGGTGGCTAGGAGATGTTAACTACCTCGCCTGTTGTACAGGAGGTCGTGGGTTCGATCCCGACCCTGACGATGCCTGCTGTATATTTGTGAGTTTGCGTGTCTCTCTCTCTCATCATCATCATCATCACGGTGGCTAGGAGATGTTAACTACCTCGCCTGGTATACAGGAGGTCGTGGGTTCGATCCCGACCCTGGCACCTGCTGTATATTTGGAGTTTGCGAATCTCTCTCTCATCATCATCACGGTGGTTATGAGATGTTAACTACCTCGCTTGCTGTACAGGAGCCGCGGGTTCGATCCCATCCCTGACAATGCCTGTTGTATATTTGGAGTTTGCGCGTCTCCCTCTCTCTCTCTGATCCCGTGGGCGCGTGGATTTTTCTCCGGGGGTCCTCCATATTGAGGCTCAATGTCACGCGTTTAGCGTATTCGGCCGCTATACATTTCTACACGATGATGATAAGCCACTTCGTTGAGCTATCAGTTGTGATGGCCACGTCGTTTCTGAAGAAGAGCTTCGCCCGAGGACGATTGCCTGTGTGGCGATCGAAACGTCGTGATTTTTATTAGTATCATTATTATTTTTCTATCTACGTGACTTTACCGAAAGACCCGAAGAATAACAGCTACACAGCTCAGTGGGGCCTTACCTGGCGTTTAGTCTAGGAATGTAACCCTGTCCAACAATGTCCGGTCAACGTGGAAGAGCAGACCAAGTACCCGCCAAAGCGTTTGCCCCGGTGGAAGCCGCCTCCGCCGGCAGCGGGCGTGACCGAGCGACCGCGGGGAGGCTCGTGCCTTTTCCGGATTTTTATTATTTCATTATCGTATAAAAAAAAAATTGAGAAAGGAATGACATAGGAGTGAAATAGCGGCTTGAACGACCGGCGGCGGCGGTGGCGGTGATTGGCCCCGGCTGCCAAACAGTCGCCGTCCTGATTGCTCGGCCGTTCCGTGCTCTGCGCGCTTGGCAAGAACGGCTTCTGATTGTACGTCCGGCCCGCTAATAGTCGAGGGGATGAATGGGGCTCGTTGATTTGGCGCGGGGCACACGTTTCTCTTTTGTGTCACGCCGCTCGCACCCGCCAAGCCGGACGCATGTCGAGGGCTCCGCGTCATCCCGCCTAGAGTGTTTCCCCTCGCTCTTTTTGGCGGGCCACGACCGAGCACGGCTGGCCTGCAGCCAGACCTCTTGGGGTAACCTTTGAGCCGTCGCTTCTCCGAAATGGGATTGCCGGTTACCCTCGCAGGGCGAGCGATGCTAACGCGATGATCCTCTCGAAGCGTTTTGCCTGCGGATGACGAATATGTACGATGGCAAGGTCACCTCGGTAGCTTCGTGCGGGAGAGCGGCGGTAAAACGGGCACAGGG